TATGAACATTTGTTTAACCTCAAAAGTACAGTTTTTAAATTAAATGTTGCTGAAACAGCAAGTTTCTCAGTGGATCTGTGCTTGAAAATGGAGCCTAGGTSGAGTAGTCGAACACAGATCCACTGATCCTTAAACACAGAGCATCATCAGAAGACAAGCTAATAAAATAAATTTTAAAAATCTGTATTGTTCGATACAAGTGTGTATTGAACAGTTCGACACGGGTACATGTATTGTTGCACCCCTAGTTAACATGTTGACCGTAATGTTGTTTCTTTATTCTACTAAAAGTGGCTGTTTCAGACACGTGAAAACATCTAATAACTTAAAATAATGTATATATGTTTATTATATTCTTCATTTAAGCACATCGCCACTTCGTTACTGAAGCAATGCATTCTGGGGATGATGAAGATGGGTTACAGTTGAGATAAAAACAGAGTCGAGGCTAAACAGCTATAATGTGTGACACATTTACATTAGTTTATACAGGATGTTCTGCACAATAAATGGGTTGAAACGACCAAGCATGATTAGTAAATTAGGTCAGGAGCTAACGCCGTTTACATATTATTAATAAATATGTGCTTTTAGCAAACTATTGTTTTATTTTCCTCCATTAGCCAACGCCATATCGCTGTGTAGAAACTTCTGGTTTGGCCTTTTATAGATTCTGTGTTTGCTCCTAAGCTAATATWTACTTGGCCTATAAGTTAAAAAATGTGTTTTGTAGATTATTTCTTTGCTGTAACAATGTTTCTTTGCAATAACTGTTATACTTTTGAAAAGCCTGTTAATTTCCCTTTTAAATGGTGCCACATTTGTAAGGAGCATGCATTTGTGGGATGAGCAGTAGAGCAGAGGGTTGCGTACATGACAAAAAAAGACCAAATCTTCTCTGTCAAACATCTTATTTTGTCATTATTGACACCCCCAGGTGCTGCCAATAAGCTTTATTACAACAAARAAATAATTTACCAAACAAATTCTTTACTTTTTGGGTCAAGTAAATATTAACTTGGAGGCTAACTTTAAAGCTAAAAGGCTAAAGCTGAGGTTCTCCTTCCATGAAGAGCTCTGTTGCCCTCCATCGTTTTCAGTTGCAGGCTGAGTCATTTCTATATTCTCTGTCAAACAATCTGGTTGAATTTAAAAGGGCTGAACGTTGAGATTGTTCAAAATTAACATTGAAGATGGATAGAGCTTACACCTTGTAAGCATCCCAATTTACCCAGAATGCTTTATGTCATAAATAACAGCAATGTCTGTAACAATATATGTTTTAAATTTATAAAAACTAAACAGCCTACAGGAATTTTACAGTCTTGTTTTATAGTTGAAGTAAATGTTCATTAAATGTCTGATATTATAACTAGCCAGAGTTCCCTTTAACACGTTGGCACAATATAAAATGAGCGCAGACTACTTCAGTTAGCTTTAACAATGAACCAAGTCTTTGCTTGAACGCTGAGGTTGGAAAAGGCAGAAGGGAACTTACCAGCCATCATACTTGAGGAACTGACTGGAGTGGAGCTGGCAGCCATCCCCCCAGGAGTGGCCCCTCTGCCCTGATCTTTGACGATGGGATCTGAGAACATGGAAAGGCTGTGAGCTCCTCATAAATCACGTTTACTACTGGCTCACACAATCACATCACGCTTAGAGTGTTCAGACCGAGTGAGGCGAGAAAGCAAACGTACAGAAGTAGGGATGATCCATGGCCTCTCTGGCCGTGAGGCGAGCTTGATGGTCGTAGCGCAGCAGTTTGTCCAGGAAGTCCAGAGCCTCTGTGCTGACCAGGTGCTGGTTCTCACTGTGCACAAACCTCTCCCATCTTTTGCGGGAATGTCTTGAGACAAAAACAAAAGTATGTACAAATGAGCGAGCATGCAAAGAAAATAGGGACAGCTAATTTATCTCCTGGTGCTGGATGTCGTCCAATTCTTCAAGTAAAAACGAACCAAACAGCATAACTGCGTACCTTCCCAGAATGTCGTTAAACCGTGGATCCAATTCGATGTTGTACTTGTCGATGTAGTCATACAGGTCCTCTGTGCCAAGTACTTTTGCAATCCGCACAAGCTGAGAAAGAAAAGAATTAAAAAGTCATCTCTATCTCCATCTTCTACCACTTATTCGTACTTAAGTTGGAGGCAACAGGTCCATGAAAGGAAGCCCTGATGATCTCTCTTTAGCAACACTCTCCAGATCCACCTGGGGGACCCTAAGGTGTTACTAGGCCAGAGAAGATAAACAATCCCTCCAGTGAGTTCTGGGTCTGCTCCATGATCTATTTCCAGTGGACCATTACCACAAATCCTCTAAAGAGAGGCATCAAAGAGGCATTCAGAGCCTGAAACTCCGCCTTTCGATGCAGAGGAGCATCTCTACTCCGAGCTCCTCCCTCATCTCTAAGGCCCAGCCTGGGTATTTTACGAAGGAAACTTATTTCGAATGCTTGTATTCAGAACTTTGTTCTATCAAGATCCATACGACATGACCACAAGTGAGGGTTGGAATGTAGACGGACCAGTAAATCAAGAGTGTTGCCTTTCAGCTGGACTTTTTCTTCACCACGTCCGATTAAATAAATGCCCTCATTTATTGAAGATGAGGCCCCAACCCTCGATCTATCTTCCACTCGATCCTACCATCACTTGTGAACAAAACACATACTTGAACTCCATGAGGCAAACGTTATTTAATCATTTAAAATGACCAACAATGATCCTGACTCTGATATACAGGACCAACGATTTCTTCTTTAACAATGCAACATATATGTCAGGCATCTCAGGATCCTGGTCCTCATACAATATCTTTACACTCATCACACTCCCTTATGATCTATAGGGTTCAAAAGTGGCTGGTAGCCAGCAACTTTCGCTCAGCTTTCTCAGAGGGCTGAGGTCCACAATGTGGATGCAGCAAGCAGCAAACATCCAACTAGGGTTGGGCATAATCGTATCGTGTGCAATTAACCGTCAGAAAAACAATCGATTATTTTTTGGCACTTGACTATTAATACGATTAATGTCACCAGGCTCGGTGCTCCTCTCCACTTCACGTATGACGAACATTAAAAAAATGGTCTGTAATTTATTTATCTATCAACACAATTTGAAATTTGATGTATAGCCTGAAGTCTGTGATTTTGACACAATTTGGAACAATTTTTATGAAGAGCAAAATCTTTCCCACTAAATTGGTCAYGTGACCAGGACATAAGGATGTCCAGGGACTCCAAGAGATTAATTGTCAAATTAATTGTTATCGGCTAAATACCATAATTAATCGTATTTTTTTTTTGCCAATGTTGCCCAACACTACATCCAACACCTGTAAACCCAGGCAGGTGGACGAAAAGGTGATGGAGTTCCTAACAGTCTGACGAAGCGAGCCAGCAGCAGGGTTTATATCCTTAGTGACAACTGCTCAGTCATTTTTATTAGTTTGTGATAATTTGTTTTTGAACATTTACATGGTATTAAATTTATAGAGCCGATGAAGTACAATACCAGTTCTTGAGCAGTTTTTTTTAGTTCTTAACATGTTCTAATGTTATCTTGTTCATGTAACAATGTTTACCCTGGAGTTCTCCTWTCTTCTGTCCATCAAGAGCTAATCCACAAGATGTCAAAACTGTAAGTGTGCTGTCCTCGCTTCTGCCAGCTTAGAACCACCGACCGGACCAGAGAGGAGGTTCTGAAACAGTGCGGCTGTGTGTGGTCACTGGACTGAGGCTGAACGAACAGAGCCGAAACACAAAGCTGCTGCCAGGGTGGAGAGTAGTTGTCGCTCCGGTTTAAAACGTACACGGTTCTGTTCCCCCTCGGAAAGCTWGTGCGTGACAACTTTGCACTTAGCTGCAACTCTGTTTCTGATGAAAATAGAAAGTTCTCCCGACATTCTTGCTAACTTGTTAGCGCAGCATGTTGTTGTGATCACGTGAGCGCTGCAAGCTGGATCCAAGCGCTGCTGGATAGAAACACTGGAGTGGAGGCAGTGAACTGCTGGATTGAACTGCTAATATCGGACATTTTTTATGCAGGCCGATAAAATCCGATACTCATTTTTTGGCTGATATCGTACCGATATCCGATATCAATATCAGATCGGGACACCCCTATTTCTGATGTTATAAATTTATTTTTTTCAGGGCGGAGAATGATCAGACCCCCTTTATTTGATTGTCTTGTGGTGCTTTACTTGGTCAGACCCCTACTTTAAAAAAAAATAGCCTCCTGCTCATGAAACTTTTGAACCCCCTTTTGATGCACTACAACATGAACAATTTGGAATCAGTTTAAAAATGTCAAACATCCTTTAATGCTAACATGCTGAGAAACAAAATACAGAACTGTGAAGTGACCGTTTATGGCGTGCACACAACAAAGACAATAACAAGATGGCTGACAGACATACAAACGGCTCCTTCCACCCTGGAAACCAGCGTTCGGAAGTTTTTTGCTTTCTATTAAGTTAAACGGAAATATGACGTCGACAAGAGCCACACCAAACGCAAGCTGTGTATCTTTCCACTAAAAAGAAAAAAAAAGGTCAGTGGTAGCTTCTAGATGTTGCTGCTAGCAGAGGCCGTCAAAGTTTCCACCTAACCCAGAAAAGGCAAAGCAAATAAARTCTGCTGCAACTTTCATTGTAAAAGATCTGCGCCACATTCAGTGGTTGAAAACCAGGGCTGGTGCTCCTTGTTTCACACTTTACAGCCATTTAGAGAACATGGTCACCTCATTTCCAAAAATACCAATGCAAAAATCTCCACACTTCCAGATGAAAAGCAGTTGGAAAAACACAGAARAAAGTGGGCAATATTGCTCTAACGTGTAACGCTTCTATTGCCACAAAATCTTTCAGCATTATGATTGCTTTTATTCAGTTTCCATAATCCTAACATCACAAGCTATGTTTATGAGGACATAAGTAATGGGAATAATCGACCAATTGAAATATTCTGATCTGATTCAGCTCGATCTAAATGAATTTGTAATCTGAATGAGATTGTTTCTGTTTGTCACAGAAGTTTAACTCTGTCAGTACTTCTTCTGAATAAAAGTCTGGTGCATGTAAACACTCGTCGCCATCAGATTGATTAATTTTGTGACCAAATAAACATTACATTGATTATTTAATCCAAATACATTTCAATCCGATCAAAGAAATTTGCGCATGTAAACATAGCTACTGTGTCGTGCAAAATGGGTAATTTTAGGCGAGAGATTCTATTTTCCGAATTGTTTGAAGCGTGATTATGGATGCATCAAAAACTGATAATTGCAGCCCTCTGAACTGCAACTGAATCAAATCGTAAAGTACCTAAAGATTCCAACCCCTAACACACATATTTACAGAATAAAAATAAATCACATTAAATGAAGGGACAAAAAAATAAAAAAATAAAAAAAACGCTCCAAATGAGCGAGATAAGAGCAGGCTGCATTCTGAAACTAAGATTTTCCATTCTTACCAAAAAACTTTCAAACTTGGCAATGATACAACATACAGAATTCAACAAATGTGTAAAAATAAAAACAGAAGCAGATTCTTCATACCTGATCATAATTGTCATGACCGTGAAAGAAAGGTTCCTTCCTGAAGATCATGCTGGCAAGCATACAACCCAGACTCCACATGTCCAAGCTGTAGTCATACATCTAAAAAATAACAATACAGAGAGGGAGACAAGCTTCGGTTATTAAAAGGATTTCTCCTCATGTGGTAAATTTTTAGTTGCCGTTGACCTCACCTGGTAATCTACCAGCAGCTCGGGACCTTTGAAGTACCTGGACGCCACCCTCACGTTGTATTCTTGGTTTGGATGGTAGAACTCTGCCAAACCCCAGTCGATTAGACGTAGCTGGAAGGACGAGTTTCAGTGTTTTAGTTTGTACAGTATGAAAAACGAGACGTTAAAAAAACAACAAAAAACCAGTTCATAACCACACCTTTCTGTGTTCGTGGTCAATCATTACATTGTGGGGCTTTACATCACGATGCATGATGCCCATACTGTGGCAGTAATCCAGAGCCTTTTGAGTCAAACAAAACAAAAGAGAGAAGGAAATATTACCAAACATTAAACCAATCTTCATCGATTTGAGCCGATGTTTGAAACGTAACACAGTGGTGCTTAAGGCTACTGCTTACCTTTAGGATTTCATACATGTAGAACCGTATGTCAAAGTCTGACAATGTCTGATACAATTGCTGTTGAGTGAAACAATATAAAATCACATTAAATTATTTAGTACTAAGTCAAAATGTAAGTGAAACAATAAGAAAACAAATAAAGCCACTAATTACCTTGAAATCTGTGTTGTTGACATGTTCAAAGACCAGAGCAGGAGTTCGAGACTAAACAAGAAAACAACCAGTTTAAGGGGGAAACACATATA